TACTAAATTAAAAATACAATTAAAATTTTTTTTTTTAGTGTTTTTGTGAACAGTCACACCAAATATGGTGTGGCACTGTTCACAAAACACTAATATAAAAAATTTGGTGTTAAATATGCCATTCGATTGGAGGAATTTTGACACCAATTATGGTGTTATGCAGTCCGGTTGGACTTGCTGTTAGATAATATTTTGAATAAGTTCTTATATCCATGGGTTTGAAGGCATTCATTCATTAATTTGTTTTTTTTTGAAGCATGTGCTACGTTTCTATCAAAACCATGTGATTTATTCGAAGAAAAACAAGTGAAAAATCGTAAACCGCATGTAGAAGCTCGAGTTTGAAAACTTTGTCAGTGGTTTTATGAGCAGTGACCTACAATCACATCATCATCATACAGCAGGGTTGGTAACAAATTCAATAGCACTGAAAATATTGTTGATTTTAGCAAAAAAAAAAAAATATATATATATATATTGTTGACAGTAAAGTATCTGTGAATCAATACATGATCTGTTTTTATGTGACAGTAAATGATAAAATTAAATTTTTGGATCTTTTTTATGTGGTGACGAACGGGCTTACCACAAGTTTCTCATCTATTGGCTTTTACACTTTACCACGTTTTTTAAAAAACTTTTCATCAACTGTTCTTGTTTTTGTCAACGGCTCTGTTTGTCTTTAAATACTAACATCAATTCAGACAGCCGACACATCATTTCTCTCCTTCACATTTTTTATTATTTTTCCTGAGAACAATTTCTATTTCTCAGATCAGTAATAATTGAGGTTCCTTGATAGACATGAGAACAAATTCTCACTTTATTTGTTTCACAAACACATAAAAATCTCTCTGTTTCTTGTTTTCTCTCTCTTTGTCGCTTAACATTCACAACAAACAAAAAAAAAAAAATGAAGGAATCATTCAAAGTGTGTTTCTGTTGTGTAAGAAGCTTCAAGGTGAAATCAAGTGAACCACCTGAAGAAATCAAAACGCTATTCCAAGATTACTCTCAAAACGACAGGATGTCTGCAGACGAAATGCTCAGATTCGTGATCCAAGTTCAAGGAGAGAAAAACGCAGATATAAACTACGTCAAGGATATATTCCACAGGCTCAAACACCACGGCGTTTTTCATCCTCGTGGTATTCATCTGGAAGGTTTCTACCGTTATCTCCTCAGTGATTTCAACTCTCCATTGCCTCTGACCCGCGAGGTAAAAGTTTTTAAGATAAGATCTGTTTGTTTAGTTTTGAATATGTTTCTATGTGGTTTTTGGTTCTTTGTTTTTCCAGGTTTGGCAAGATATGAATCGGCCTTTATCGCATTACTTCTTGTACACGGGACATAACTCTTACTTGACTGGGAATCAGTTAAACAGTAGAAGCAGTATCGAACCGATTGTGAAAGCTTTGAGAAAAGGAGTTCGTGTAATCGAGCTTGATTTATGGCCTAACTCTTCGGGAAACGAAGCTGAAGTTCGCCATGGCGGGTCTGATTCTGATTCTTTACCATTAAAAGCCCTTCTTGAATGATCAATCAATCAACCAATAATTTTAGGTCTTAAGAGTGCAGTTTCTTGACTTGTTGTGGTAGGACGTTAACAAGTGCCGAAGATCTGCAGAAATGTCTTAACGCGGTTAAAGAACACGCGTTTGAGGTGTCTGATTATCCTGTTGTGCTTACTTTAGAAGACCATTTGACTCCAATTCTTCAGAAGAAAGTTGCTAAGGTACACGCTTTTTCGAAAAATCTTGTTTTAGAACAGTGAGTTTGATTTTGATGGTGAAAATGTGTTTGTAGATGGTGAGTAAGACGTTTCGAGAAACGTTGTTTCAATGTACAGACGAAAATACAGAGTGTTTTCCTTCACCAGAAGCACTCAAGAATAAGATCTTGATCTCAACAAAACCACCAAAAGAGTATCTTCAGACCCAAACTTCTCAAGGTTCAACTACTGATGAGGTCGTTAAAGCTAAAGTAAGAATAACAGAAAAAAAACAGAGCTGAAGTAACTATTAGTGGTTCCTTAATGGGTTTCTGAGAGTTTTTGTGTTGTGACAGAAAGTTGCAGATGCAGAAGAACAGATTCAAGATGAAGATGAGGAGACCGTAGCGATCGAATACAGAGACTTGATCTCGATTCACGCTGGAAACCGCAAAGGTGGATTAAAGAACTGCTTGAATGGAGATCCTAACCGAGCCATACGGTTAAGCATGAGCGAGCAGTGGCTTGAGACTTTAGCTAAAACCCGTGGATCCGATTTAGTAAAGTTCACGCAGCGGAATCTTCTAAGGATATTTCCCAAAACTACACGTTTTGACTCATCAAACTATGATCCTCTTATTGGATGGATTCATGGAGCACAAATGGTTGCCTTCAATATGCAAGTAAAGAGATTTTCAATACTCTCTCCTCTCTCTCTACTACAAACGTAGAGTCACAATAGTAGACAAAGATTTATTAGTATACACCAATTATACTTGTTAATGCAGAGTCATGGGAAGTATTTGTGGATGATGCAAGGAATGTTTAAAGCTAATGGTGGATGTGGCTATGTTAAAAAGCCTGATGTTTTGCTCTCCAATGGTCCTGGAGGAGAAATCTTTGACCCTAGCAGTCAAAATCTCCAGATCAAGACAGCTCTTAAGGTTTTATCACTGTCTCTGTTTTTGCTCTGTTTCCATTTCATCTGTTTTCTTGAAGTGCAAGAAAACATTTTAGTTTTGCGTCGGTTGTGTATGATCAGGTGAAGATCTACTCTGGAGAAGGATGGAATCTGGATTTTCCTCTAGATCACTTTGATCGATACTCGCCTCCCGATTTCTACGCAAAGGTTCACTCATACAAAGCATCTAGTAAATAACCCTAATTAGGTTTTCTTGTCGATCAAGTCAACCAACTTGCTTGTAATTGTTTTTCTTTTCCAGATCGGAATCGCAGGGATACCTTTGGACACAGCAAGTTACAGAACAGAGATCGATACGGACGAATGGTTTCCGGTTTGGGACAAAGAATTTGAGTTCCCGTTGCGAGTTCCTGAGCTAGCACTTCTGTATATCACAGTGAAAGACTACGACAGTAACACTCAGAACGACTTCGCCGGCCAGACATGTCTTCCTCTGTCGGAGCTCAAGCCAGGCATTCGTACCGTCCGGCTCCATGATCGTGCCGGAGAGGTCTTTAAGCACGTGAGATTGCTCGTGCGGTTTGTCTTGGAGCCTCGTTAGTTGTTTGATGTTTATTTATCACTCGTATCGATAAATTAAGTGTCGGTACTCTACACATAAGTTAGTGGTATGTATTACGCCGCGCGTGATAATAAGAGAAGACAAAGAAAAAAATTGATTAAACTCATGAAAATGATAAGGTTTGTGATTTTACCATCAACAATTTGTTCAAACTTTAATTAGTTGATTAAAGAAAATTTTGTTTAAGAAGTTCACGTGGTCCACTAACCACTAATACCAATTGCTTTTGCTTTCATTATGGCAATTGGCACTAAAGCAAGAATGCAAAATCATGTTCAATGTGGCAATTATCACTAAAGCAATTGCTTCATTATGCCAAAAAAAACAATTTTAAAATATGGTTTGTTAAAATATCACTATCACAATAGAAATATAGTAGATGGATCGTCATTCTAGTGTTTAAACAAACAGTGTTTTAACGTTCAACAAATCAAC